AACGTTTTAACAGCCCACAACTCGAACCAGTGCACACAGTAACTCATACTGGTCTCTGTCAAAGGAGCTGCCTCCAAGAAGCACTTCGGTGCAGAACTAAGTGATTAAATCTAAGTAATTTTCACAGTTAAGTCTGCCAAGTCATAAACAAACAATTGATTTAAGTAAATGCACTCAAGAGTAGATAAAGCTTCATGTTTTGGGGGGGGATCTTTTGTTTTCTTTTAAACTTGGGCGAATCCAATGTTGCTTTTGTTGAGTTTGGAAGCTTCATGGTGCTACTACAGCAAAGATAGAAAGGATTTGTTTCCCTTTTCATATTTCTGTTACCTAATACTATTTAAATGCACATAAAATTCTCAGCAGGTTTAAAAAACACCAAAATAATTGGTGAACTTAGTGATGCTCTTTTGTACTTCACCAATTGCAAACCTTTGCACGTATTCCAAGAAACACTGGGTTGGAACAGAGCAAGTACATGAGGTGCAGCCACACTCACATTGCTGTGCACGCTGATTTGGGAAAAGAAATGCTTGAATATTGGCACACTTTGAGATACTATTTGAATTTAAACTACACATTGAAGATAAACATTAAAGTCACAGAAATTTTATAACAGTGCCCCAAATCGCTCATCAAACAGAAGCTTTCAACTTAAAACAATATTACTCCATCTGCATTAAACAGTTTGTGTCTTTAAAGATTAATATGACACTATTTAACCTTTTCTAAAACATCCAATGCTATTAAACAACTTCAAAAGAAGAAATTCTAACATCAGCTAGAAAAGGATGACACGGGATGAGAAAGCATTTAAACTATTTCTTATTCTCACAAAGCTGTTTCCTTTAGACTCTCAGCTTTGGTAACTAGTTATGCTTGCAGACTTTGAGAACAGATGAGCCAAATATGCACCTGACCAAATACTAACATCCTTTCAGGAGGCTTTGATGTGTCATAGTGTTGTGTCAACTAACTTCCTCCAAGTCTGTGACTCAGTCTTAAGAAACAAAACAGAAGTACTCAGTAATGCAGAGCTTACAGTAGGGTAAGTCACCACCATGCTGACATGGAGCATTTAACTCCCACGGAATTCCTGGGACCAGGGTGCTTCAGAAGGCACCTACTGCCTGGCAGAATTTGACCCCACGTGTTTAAAACAAGGTATTAAAAGTAACAATATGGCCTTCAAGAGTCTTTTTGTAATCTTCCCAAAAGTGGTGTTAGGCAACACCATAAAGACAAACCCAGCTTGACCCAAAGGAAACATATCTGCTGTCATTTTATTGCTGTGGAGAACTAAAAGCCACACAGAGCTTTAACAATGCAGTAACATCAATAACGAACTGTTTATTGACCAGCCTGTGCTTTAAGACACTGTCAAAAGGGAGACAGGAGAACCAGCACCACTGCTGTTACTGGAAACACCTGTGATATACTTACAGATTTTGCCAGTGTCATTTTTTGCATTTGTTCATAGAAATTTGATTGGTTTAAGTACTTTTGTTCACATTTTTCTATAATTTGAGTGCTTTCTCTTTAAAAGAAAAATCATGACTTCACGAGTTCATCAGTGTATGAATCCATAGGTGCTACTGGGCTGGTAAAAAGGTTGTCTTGTTCAGACAAACCAACCACCATGTATTTTCACCTGCTTTCTGCAAGCCTTTTTCCCTTAAGTTTATGTTATAGACTATTCTGCATTTCTGTCAGCTTATACAAACTTACCTACAATCTTACTTTAAAGGAAGATTAACTGCAATTGTGAGGAAGGTAAAGTACAACGGCAAATTATTTATTGTAATCGGACTATTATTTTGGTTGATACACTGTCTTTGGAAAAGAAATACAAACTTCTCACCTTTTGAACATCAGTATCATGCTTCTGCTGTAATTTAAGGTTTTCTTCATGAAATTTGCCTTCTGCTATTTTCATTTTCATGTCTAGCTTTAGAAGCAAAATAGAACAGATGTATAACTATATTAATGTATAATTATAATGTATAACTACATTAAAATAAAGCATAAATTACACTAATGACCTTTGCATAACTTTTATTCATTTATGTCTTTCAGAAGGAATGGGAAGTCAATTCCAAATAAATGCTATAAAAAAAAATATATGCAGTTTCTCAGTATGTTCATCTTTATGTGATAAAAAAAGTTACAGATCTCAACCCAAAATATTTATTTAGCAAATGGATTTGTAAGATGTTTTAACTGGCAATAAAAACTGCTACTGCCCAGAAAAAGCTATCATCCTTTATTTAAATAAACACTTAAGAATGAAATTTTTAATGTTTTGTTAATATGCCAAGAATGGTAAACTTGCTTTTATTCTTTAGGCAGGTGTTACATTTATACAAAGAATGTCCTTTGGCCCAGATGCATGTTTATTTTTGCTTGTTTTCTGTTACTCAGAGATTTCACGTTATAAACACATTTCCTTTAAAGGTTACTTATAACGGGATTAAGGATATTGCTGCTGAATTTGATTGCTGAAATACATTTCCTGCCTGTGTTTGTTCAAAGTCGTGTACTTGAACCCCTCTGACACAGTAACACATTGCCACTTCTTATGCATAGCCCAAGTTTTCATCTTTAAGCTATTTTTAAGTTTCTTGCATAGTTTCACGACGTCATTGAAGTCTTCAGGACTCTAAAGATATGATAGGTATTTTGTGTTTCTGAGTTTTCTAAATAACAAAGGTGACACCTCAAGTTCAGATTCAGGTTATTGTACTTCTACATGTCACCATTTCAGCAAGCAAAGTAGACAGAAAAGCTTCCCCAGCGTGACAGACCCCAGTGACCCCACACACTTTAGAAAGGGCCGACCAAAATCATTGGAGTGCTAGTACCAATGCCTCACCACAAGATGTCTTTAAGCAGTCTGTTGCCAACAGAAAAGTTTATGTTTGCTTTGGAGCTGGGCACTGCACTTGCATCACCATCCAGCTAAACTGAGTTCACAAATTTTTATTTTGCTCAACTAAGAACCTGACACCTAATATTCCCAACTGACAAACTCTAAAGGAACCAACAAGCATTATCCATTCTGCCTTTACTTTTCATAGAATGGTTTGGGTTGGAAGGGACCTTAAAGATCATCTAGTTCCAACCCCCCTGCCATGGGCATGGACACCTTCCATAGCCCAGGTTGCTCCAAGCCTCATCCAGCCTGGCCTTGAAGACATCCAGGGATGGGGCATCCACAGCTTCTCTGGGCAACCTGTTCCAGTGCCTCCACACCCTTTCCGGGAAGAATTTCTTCCTGATATCTAATCTAAACCTCCCTGTTTTCAATTTGTACCCATTACCCCTTGTCCTGTCACTACAGGCTCTTGTAAAAAGTCCCCCCCAGCTTCCTTGTAGGTTTCCTTCCCTTTCATTCCTTTGACATAACAAAAGTAGTCATTCAAGCGTGAATCTTAAACACATACAGACAATAAACACACTGCAGATCAGTAATTTATATTATTACAGTGTTATATATTTTTGTTTAGTGTGACTTGAAAACGTGAGCTACAAAACTCTGTCAGCTCAAAAAAGCAAAATGCTGTGCAATTAATATAGAAGACTCCTTAAGAACTGAAAACAGAAGAAGCAAGAGCAGCAAATTCTTCTGACTTCCAGACTCCACGTCCACTGATACCCAAAATACACGCCTGCTTCTCACACTGCATATAAAGAGGCTACCTATCTCCCAAGGTACAGAGTCTTATGCAAATTACCGGGGGTGGGGGAAAGCAGTTAGATAGACAATTAATCCAAAGAGAACCATATTCTCAGCTGTCAGACATCTCTTTTATCATCCAAAAACAAGCATCATTATAAACATGCACGTTCGATTCATAACATATATGCATATGTATATATGAAAAGAAAGATATGCATATATACCTCCAAAGTGACATTATAGGAGAAAATCTTAGTACCAGCTGATAATAAGTGTTGATTTTAAAAAAGGAGCAGAGTAATCCACTTCCAGATAGACAGTTTGTGAACATTCGATAAATAAATATGAAGGTCTTGTAAAAACACAAATACTAGAAACTAAACATGAAAGAGACTCCAATCTACTTGAATTCCATTAAAAGCTTATGAGTTACCGACATATAGCTATGGCACTCACACAGCTGTTGAATCCACACAAACACGTTACATGCAAAACTCATTAATAAAGCGAGAGCATCTCGGCTGATGTAAATTAATCCTTGGCCGTCTGCATCAGCAGAGACCTGGTCTACGTTTCATTCTTCTGTCGACTGAAAGGATGTAAAATAAACCAAACCCTAAAATGTGTCTTGTATCAAATATGGGCATATATTTTCAAGGGATGGTGATTGTTCTCAGCCACATGGCTTCTTTCCTACAAGTTGACACCAGAAATCCCTGTACTTGATGTTGGCTCCCACCACTTGTCATTAATCTTCCTCTTAGCACCATTCTTGCACTCATTCTCATCAATTTTAGTTCATTAATTCATTGCTCTACATATAGTAGAACAGACGTCCCTTAAAATTTCAGAGATTTCAGGGACTATTTTCAAAAAAAGGATTGGCAGCTTTGTCTCAGCAAAGCTAGTTGCAACCAAACAACAAATTTCAAAGACATGTGTGTCCAAGACTGAGAAGTCAGAAGGGACATACTGTAATAGCAAAACTGATTCCTTATTCTCTGAACACTAAATAAATAGACAAATCCCTTATTTGAAAAGTCCCAAAGGCCAACTCCTCATCAGTTGAGGGCTGAAAAGGTGACAACTTCAAAAGAACTCAAGGTCCTCAACTTCTATAAACATCATAGAATCCTGAAGATTCAGCCTCCCAGACATTTTCCTGTCCTTCTGCTTCGCCTCTAACTTCGACAATTTTGTCCCTTCAGGACGCCCTATATCAATAAACGTGAGGAGCCCCATAAAGTGTTTGAAATCCAGTAGTTGATCTGCACATGCAGTTTTCAGCTAGTCTTAAGAAGAAAGCTGTATTTGCAATGAGTAACTGGTAAAAAATAAAAAACTTCCCAACAACATTTAAATTTTATAATGGTCCGTAGGTCCAAGACACACATGTATGTTCATCACAACTGCTGGAAGTGTTAATTTGAGCATATGCTGTAAGAATAAAGATATAGTGGTTTAAAAATCCTACACTTAAAGTTTCCTCTGTGGAAATCCGCTGGAACAGCCAGAAATCGTAAGGACAACAAAGTGTCCTATAGCCAAGCTTGGAGTACTGGTTTCACTTATAAATCTGCTTTTTGACCCACCCCTTGTGTGAGGCAGACTTCCAACCTCACTGCATATGGAGATAAAACAATTGAGTCATGTAAACACATCTGAAGCACTGATCTCATTAAGGCTGGGGTTGGAGCATCATCCCTTCACAACTGGGAGTGAAACTTCTCCCCTCCCATTTCAAAGCTTAAACACATTATTAAATACTAATTTCAATAAAGGAGTATCTTTCAAATTAAAACCATACCAAACTGAGTCAACTGCATGTCTGTAGTTACCAAATGCCAAACCTCATTTGCTAAGTTGGTCTCAATTTCCTGTGGAACAGCGCGTTGTAACTTTATGTGCTGCCCTTCTATAAAGGGCCCTTTGCACTTCAGCTCCACTTTATTTATTAAACACATACTGAGAAACAAAATAGGCTACAACAGTATCAATGACCTTCGTAAGTTTTAAAGTAAATAGATAAAACAACTTTAAGAAGCCCTTCACCTTGATAGAAGCAATTAATTGTGCTCATGCTCATCAGTTTTAGTACCTTTTATTACCAGTTAAGAGGCAGCAGAGAACATGACATTTAAGGCATGTAACAATCCAGACAAAGGAAAAAAAATAAAAACAAAAAGGGGTGTAGCTATTTAGCTATAGTTGAGAAGTTTGCAACTATGTATGAAATGCAGCCATTGCTGTTGCCTGAACATCATTCCTTTGGATTTCTGTCATTGTTTATTCTCCTTACAAAGAGTATGAGGCAATTAAACCCCAAGGCCATGTAAACATTACTGATGTCAAACATCTGTGCTGTCCCTGTTATTTAAAGCCATGGAGGGTGGTATCAACAGAACTGCTTTTATGTGCCTAGTCACACTTTCTTCCTAATTTAAAAAACACCAAAACACCACCAAAACCAGCAAACAGTTACCTGGAAAAGGGTTTTCATCATATCACCAACCTATATTTTCTTAGCACAGGTTAGCTGCTATGGAAATGTAAGTTGTAGCTGTGAAACTGAAACTGATAGCCTCTAATCTGCAACTCTCAAATCTCTGGCAAAATAAAGTTAATCTCATTTTTTCATGATGGAAGGAAAACATTTGTCTTGTCACATTTTACAGGAATCTGCAGAAATATTTAAATACCCGATTTGAAAGTAAATCGATGGATAGACTGGCAATATTAACGGGAAAAAGCTTTGAACTACCGATCACCACTCACTTGTCTTCCTTACAGGGATCACCCTTGGGCCAGAAGGGACATCTTGAAGGTTTAACATCCATCAGGGATTTTTTTTTGGAGGGAGGGGGGAGGGGGAGAAGATCTTTGGCAAAACAGTACTTGTTTGCCAGGTTTTTTTCCAGGTCTATGAATATATGGGGGAGGGAGGGAGGGAGGAAGTGAGGAGGAGGGAGAAGGATGTAAACAATAAATGAGAACTTCAAAGTAAGAACTAACAATGTAGAACAATGACTTGTGTATCTTACAATATACGGCAAAACTTATTTGTGTTGCCGTTATGCAGCTGCTAAGAAATCAGTGCACGACACAAAGCTTTGATACCTTCATGGAAGAAAAAGGTTTCTTAAAAAAAACCAAAAAATTAAAACTTTCTACTGAATCATGTTCACATCCAGGGTTAAAAAAATAAATATTGATCATTTATACAATGTTTTAAACTGCATAGGCAGGCCAAGGCAGGAGGTACTATACTG